GTTGCGGTTTATGCGCTCAACGACCGGGAGGAGCGGGTCTCATTTTTTCGACTGTTGGGGCCGTTCCTGTTGGATTCAACGCGCCTAGTCTTAATGGGGGACTGGAATGCCGTCCTGGACTCCAAGTTATATAGGGGGCGGGGAGCTAGTGGATGTAGGGGCGATCGTGGCCTGGTTGATCTGATCGAAAAGTTTGGTCTCGTCGATAGATACCGGGTCGATCAAAATCGAAAATGTGGACGTGGGCTCAGAATTGTCCTTTTATCCGGGTAGTTAGCTACCTGGATAGAATGTTAGAAGAGTCGACGGAGACTTGTTAGATTGTCCCACGTTCCACTGGGTAGGCTATTCGGATGACAAACTCGTTTGTGCTCGGGTGGCGTTAGATCGTAGGCCTAGAATGGCTGGTTACTGGAAGTTCAATCTGTCTTTACTGGACAGGCGGGACTTCCAGGAACAGCTAACCCTGACTTTTTGCTTACCTGGCAACTGGCTCGGAATAGGCTATCTTTCAATGACAAGGCCTTCATATGGAGCTTGACGGATTTGCCAGACTGTGAACGATGTGACCTTGGCTTAGAGGAAACGGCTTCGCACGCCTTCTACCATTGTCCTCGGGTCCGCCCCCACTATGGGACCATGTCGGAGAGTTGACGGTTCGTCTCGCTCCATTGATCGGCGCATACGCGTGTGACAATGTGTCGCCTCCGTACTCTTGGGTGAAACGAATGGTATTTCTAACGCTGCTGGCCACGGCTCGAATGGTGATATGGACGACGCGATAGGAGGAAGTATTGCGAGGCAACCGCGTTTCTCTTCAGGATCTGATCCGAATCTTTGAGACCAGACTTAACCCATCCCCTACTTTAGGCCATGTACCATAATTGTATTTTTTACAATAAATCTAGAGAAGTAGACGCAGTGCTAACCTGACCGTTCGGACGTACACCGCTATCTACTTATTACTAACACTCTTGCTTTGTATATATATCTTCAATATAATTGTTCAACCTACCTTCGTCTTCCGTGTCTTTCTTTCTGGCCCCTAAACAGGTTACAACACACATATATATATATATATATATATATATATATATATATATATATAGAGAGAGAGAGAGAGAGAGAGTTTATAATGGTGGAATGTTCTTGTGAGGTAAAAAATTTTGTAAAGATTTTGTAATTGCTCAGTTACTAACAAGCAAGGACTAAAGTTCACGAACACACACACACACACACACACACACACACACACACACACACACACACATATATATATATATATATATATATATATTTTTTTCATCGATGGCAACAATCGGCAGCAGAAATATATATAAAGAAATAACTACCGTAGCGTAAGGGTTCTCAGAATAATTAGCTAGTATAGTGAATTCGATCCTCATTGGGCACCCCAATCTCAGTATTATGGCTGAAGTAAAAGCCATCATTCCGAATGATGATTTTAAATACAAGTCAAATTCTTCGCTTGAAAGACTGGCATAAAAGACCCCTTACATCTGGCCACCTAACTCAACAGACTCTAAGCCCTTGATTATTATGTGTGAGACGATTTGAGCGAGAGATCAAAAAAACTTCTTGTAACACCAAAGATGAACTGAAGGCAAGGATTTTGGCAGCATTCACCAGATTAAACAAGGAGACCGTCCAGAAGAGTCGCAGGAGGTTCCAAAGTCTGATGTCAGTGGCGATTTTATTGAATAAATTTACTCTTTAGTATTTCAAGGTATTTTTGTGTAATTTTTGTAAATATATCTGTTAAAATGTGATGTCAGTGTTATTTTCATTTTCGTAATTTAGACGACAATTTATCCATTGCATTCTTTAATACAGACGTTATTATGCAGACCACATTAATTTCAATAAATTGAATTTACTTTGGACATTTTTTGTAAAATTTTAAAAGATTAATTCATACCTTAATAGAAAGCTTGAGTTAAATTTTTAGACATTTTGAACACGTTTCAATAAAATTGTTAGGATTTATTATAAGAACTACAGTCTGAAATTATTAATGCAGATTAAACTAATATTACTTTAAGGACTCTTGACTCTAATAAAAACTATTTTTCCATAAACATGAAAAACATGGAAAGGATCTAAGAAATACTGGAAAAACAGAAAATAACACATTGGAGATATCAAAAGAGCTTAGCTGAGATCCTCGAATGCTAAAGAGCGCTGTTGAAGATATAAATATGTCAAGAACTAGGAGCAAAGGAAAAGGCTTTAATAACTTGTCTCTTTGAGGGGAACGTAAACTAAAGCGAGTTATAACAAAACAGACACTTTTGACTAGTGCTGAGATCTTTGAACAAGTTATAATAGAAAGAGTCAAGTAGGACAAAAAGTGTAGAGTACTTCGTAAATTTGAAATTGTCAAGAAATCTCCTAGGCAAACTCTTCTCAGTAAAGTAAATATTTTAAAGCGTCAAAATTAGGCCAAGAAATACATGAAAATGAACTTTTCTAAAGTAATTAGAATTAGTAAAGTCCAGTAAAAAACGAAATGTGGTATGGTTAACTACTTTAAAAGCAAGAAGGTGATGTTCTGTATATGCTGGGATTGGAAGTGCATTTTGCATTAAGAACGCTTTCGTAAAATCAGACGTTAAATTCAGACAAGTACTTTTCACAACTGAACTGATTAAAGGCAGCAACTGATGAAAATTATCTGGAATTAACCAATTAGAAGGGTGTTGCCTTTAACCAGAACATCACGTCTCTTTGCGGACCCGTAAGAAATTGGTAAAGCTTAGCTGGAAAGTCCTACTACACCTGCAGAACTTATCTAACCTTGCACCTTCGGACGACAGCTTATTTCGATCCCTAGAAAATTGTCTTAATGAAAAAAATTTAAATTAACTGGAAGCCTGTAAAACACACTTCATTAGCATGAAAGGTGCTTAGGAGGATGGAATAATGAAACTGCCTGAAAGATGGATAAATTCACTGGAACAAATTGGTAATATGCGATTGAATAAATCTCTATACAAATGTCTAAATATTGTCTTTGAAATTCACTGAAAAGCACTACGACCCAATATTTTGCGACTTATAGCAACGAAATGTCTTCTCTCTCCTCGGGAAAGTTTGGTTCTCTGATTAATACTTCAGATAAATCGGAACATTTGTTATAGCGGATGAGCCAGTTGCATGAAAAAATTAGAAATGGTCTGTTGGCTACATATGTTAGAAGTAGGCAAAACCTTTTTTTAAAATTATTTTAATATCTTGGCAGAAACTGCCGAAAAGATGAATAGTATTTGATGCTGTACAAAACTGAACAGAAAAGATAGCATGGATCACAGATGTTAGGAATACTGGCATCGGAATAGCCATCTATAAATCCTCACTAGAATCGGTGTTCAAATCAAACTCATTTAAAAACGTCATTGAATGTCTCTTGACACTACTGTGGTTTTGAGTTAGACTAAGTTAAAATTAGTAAAACTATGCAAAAATTTTCTATATAAAACTTGTAGAAAATTTGCAGACACATACGTCCATAAATGATACTGTAATGAGCATGATTGTACATACACAGTGATTTAAGGAAACATACAGAGTTACACACTTTAATATGACCACAAAATATGCTAAAAGAATCCGATAGACACACAAATCGATAAATCAATATCTATTTTTAATGAGATAATTGCGACAAATGCTTCACACACCAAAATTCTCTAACAAGTAAAAGTGGATTTCGAATCTTGCCTGAATTCCTGTGAAGTTTGGATACGATATATCGAAGTGTCTGGTTGGGAGAATTGGTTCGTGTGTACAAGTCAACTTAATCAATTTGAATCGGAAAGAAAGAAAGAAAGAACAAGCAGAAAAAAATGGAAATAGAGAGAATTATGTTTTGAATGGCAAGCATTTTGTGCCGAGAATATTACAGAAAGGAAAGCATTTGTCAGAACAAAAGATGGGAAATAGATTTCTTCGACATTCAAAGAAACCTGCATTGTTTGCTGTGTATATATCTAACAACACATACAAATTCATAGAGAGTACATTTTATACATACGCAAGCGCACACACATACACACAAAACCTATTTTATTTACGCATAGGTCACATGTTAGAACATAAATTTGTATTAATACACAGGAACATGTTTAACATATTCCTTATGCACGCAACATACATAGTTATCCCAGGAAGAATAGTATATACATACCTACCGTGATATACATATGCATAGGTGTATATAATGCTGACACTTGCGCAATGGCATTTATATTTATCCATTTCTGAACACATACACACAAATTTTCATTTAGTTGGTCGAAATGAAGCATAATCTGAAGCAATCCAAATGTCAATCCAAACGTGCACAATTAAATATACACTATTTATTTCACTTACACAAAGGACAGAGCAACAAAGGGTAGACCCAGGAATATTGTTTCTTATAAACACAATGCATGCACCTCATATAAAAACATCTTTATTCATCCCATTGCAAACTCTTTCATTTTTACATAAGCTTAATTTTTCTTTCTCATTCTTTTCCATTTTCATTGAAAGAATTCTTATATATTTGCATAGCTGCTTTTATAAAACGAATGCACGTACACATATGTCAATTCTCATTTGCTTTGCTTTGTAAAATGTGTAAAAATCAAATAAGCACGTATGAATACATAACTCACACAGACATATTCACAACCACATAATGAATGAAATAGTGAGATAAAGAATGAATAGTGATGCTATTTAAACATATAACGAGAGAAGGAAAAGCGTGGAGTTAAGATAGGGAGAGATTGAAATACGTGTGAAAGCAAATCTAAGGGAGACAACTGCGGTAAGGTGCCATGTGTACTTTCTTTACCGTTGTCCGTTTGTTGTGCGAGTAGAAACAAACATAGCCAGCCGCACATAAATACCGAAAAGTCTTAGCGATGTTAGCATGCCGACTGTGCGATATTTGCAGGGTCCTGGCTTCAGAGGATGGAGAGGAATGAGAATTAAGAAGCGCAAGTATGAATGAAAAGAGGGAGAAGGTCTGTGACGACTGGTTTGGGGTTGGTCATTAAATGTAGAGAAAAAAGTTGTTTTGAAAAGTAGATATTGAGGGCAGATATAAAGATAGGAAGAATTATTTGCGGGCTTTTAACAGAAATAGTCAAAGATGGATGGATGAAGGGATCTGAATGGAAAGAGAACCTTCGGGGTATGCACATTACGAAGAGGAGGCGAAGAGGAAACAAAGGAACACATTGAATACGCATAGACTAAAAAGCAGATGGAAAAAAGGAGAACGTAAAAAATTTACGGAAAGAAGAAAATGAAAGAAAAAATGAAACTGATGAGAAGGTAAAGAGAGAGAGAGAGAGAGAGAGAGAGAGAGAGAGGGGGGAAATAAAGAGAAAGTGAATTGGAAATCTTTCAGAGATCTTACGGATTTTCAAAGAAGAGATTATACTCAGATTCAAAAGTGGTTTTTATCGTTCGTATTGAAAAAGATGACAATTGAAAGCGATTCTTTGCCCTTTCATTATTTCATTTTTTTCTTACATCATATCCGAAAGTGCTCAAGGAAATGAAGACAGACAACAAAATGGCGCAAATGAAAAATATAGCCGGATATATAAAGACAGTAAATAAACATGAATTAATAAATATACACAGACATAAACTTCATTTAAATGATAATCCCAAGAGTTTCGAATGGAGTTCGAGAAGGAGTGGTTAATTAAGATGAAGACAAGAAGAGAAAAGGAAAAGAAAAAAGAAGAATATAAAAAAAATGGGGCGGAAGATAAAAATGATAAAAAGATGGAAATCGAAAAACCCGCGAGAAAAAACAAACAAACAGATTTAATGAATATGATGTGTGTAATGTAGCAATAAAATATAGAAGGGGAGAGAAAGAAAAGCAAGCGGTTAATATATTAATATATATATGAAATTATTTATTTATCACATTATATAATAAATATAATAATATATATGAAATTATTTATTTATCACATTATATATATATATATATATATATATATATATATATATATAAGAGTGAGAGAGAAAAAAATGTAATACTATAGTCTCATATAAATATCAGAGACAAATTAATCTCAGAGACAAATTAATACTACATATATACATATTGTATATATACAGAGTGATTGAAAAGTAACTCCCTATTTTATGTATGAGTGAGTGGCCAGCTAGGAGTCCTGATTTTACACCCTGTAACTTTTTTTCTTTGGGGTTGGTTAAAGGTTATTTCAAACCAAGAGTTCCTGGTGAAATCAGTTGATGCGATTCTTGGGCGGCTCGAAAAGCTGGTAGAGAAATCTGGTGCCCATATCGAATTTTAAATAAAACCTCATGCTAAACACTTTCGTCTCAGACCCATTTAAAAATTATTGCTAATTAATAAATAAATTATAAATATGTTAAAATGGGGCGTATACGCGCCCGTGTAAAACTTCAGATATAACTAAAAAATATCTGCAAAAAGGCAATATGAATAAGGACAAAAGGAAAACTTATCTTAGTCGATGCATTTTGCCGTTTTTTCTTTTATCTTAGTATCTTTTATCTTTAGTCCTATATATATATATATATATATATATATATATATATATATATATATATCAATTGGGACCAAATGCATATCAAATATGGATCAGTAGCCTTAAGATTGATTGTATAAAGAACAAATAGGAAACGTTTAAAAATCTAACATGTTTCACATTTATTAAAACTTCATAAAAGAAAGAAATAAGTAGTATAAGTCATGGCGTTCTGAAACTCAAGGGGGAGATGACGCGTCCTTTCGAAGCTCCAAATAATAACGGATTCCAAGCTTAACTGAAAAAAAGTGAATATTCCTTTATGTGTATATGTGTACCATAATTCTAGCTCATCTATGTTGGATTCGGATGATAATTTATATCCATAAGTGTACGTGTGTGTAATATATAGAGATATAATTAGGAAGAAAAATAGATCCGGCACCACTTCCGATACAGGGATTTATCAGATAAATTGCTTGCAATGTCAGTATACTAAAAATGGAAAGACATCTCGAAGTCTAAAAGTAAGTATCTGTGAACACAAAAGGGGCCTACTTTAGGACAATCATTTAAACTCACTTGTAATACATAGGAACAAAACTGACCTAACTTTAATTTTACAAATGTCACCCTAATTAAAAAAGAGCGTTATTCTTTACGTCCAAAATACTTTGAGAGAATCCTGATAAATATTTTATCAACTATAAACACACCAAAAAGAATATATTACATCACAAAACTTTATTAAATCCATACTTAAAGAATGTAACATATATATTTATCTACCACAACCGGGTAAAAATGTTCCCAAATCAACATGCGGACAACCGCCAAATATCACACACACACACACACACACACACACACACACACACACACACACACACACACACACACTACGAATATATATTATCACCCAAATCACACAAAGACAAACTAGAATTATGATACGCTTACATACATAAAGCAATATTTACGTTTTGGAATACGTTATTTTTTGAAGCTTCGAAAAGACACATCATCTCTACTTGATTTTCAAAATGCCATAACTTATACTAACGCTGCTTAACAAGTCAAATGCACGTGAAGCCTACTTAACCAATGAAAAAAATACCAGAATTTCTTTCTTTCTTCATATCTCATATCTCATATATATATATATATGAAGAGAAATTTGGAAAAAACAAACAAAAATCCTTGAATGCAATTATGTTGTTTAAAATGAATGAAATGTCGAAACACACACACACACACACACACACACACATATATATATATATATATATATATTGGCTTCGAACAAACGTTCGTAGCATTTTTCAACAGCTTCAAATATGTATATATAATTTCGTTTCGCATATGACTGAAATTTATGACATATTTGCCTATTCTTAAAGAGGACATTTTACCACGTCTTTGTGTATGTAGATTGAGAATTTAAAATGTTTTTACGTTAAAAATAAAGATGGAGGAAAATGAGATGCATTTTCATCATCTGAAGCACTTTTATTTACGGAAACCAAAAACAAAAATGCATGTGCATTTTATAGAAATTGTACTACAACTGAGAGTACAATTCGCTAAGTTCGATAGTAGAAAATGTTGTTTTAAAAGACTATGAACATTACGTCAGGCTTGAAGTCATTGATGACGAAAAATTTAATCGATAATTAAAAAGGAATCTAGGACATACGACACAGAACATCACAAAAATAGTCCACATATTTTATAAGATCGTATTAAAGTATTTGAAAAATAATGGGATATGTAGATCATTAAGATGTTTGAGTATATCGTGATTTAACTAAAAAAAAGAAGAGTATTCCCAGTTGCTGTGCTTCTCTGTTCAAACTCAATAAAAAGACCCATTTTTGAAAAAAGTCATCACATATGTTGAAAAGTGGACTCTTTATAACAATGTGGATCGAAAAAGGTCCCACGGAAAACGAAAATCTGTTCTGCAATCGAAGAAGGTGATGCTATGTATCTGGTGCGGTTGGATGGGCATGGTGTATTACTATCACCTTCTGCAAAATCAGAATTCAAAAAAATACTGTACGCAATTGGACCGATTAAAAGCAGCAATCGTTGAAAAGCGTTTCGAATTGTCCACTTGGAAGGGTGTCGTCTTCCGTTAGGACAACGCCAGACGTCAGGTTTCTTTGCAGACCTCACATATATTGGTATAGATTGGTTTTGATCTTACTACAACGCGATATCTATCTGGCATTGCACCTTCTGAGTATCCCTACAAAATTCTATAAGTGGGAAGAACTTTAATTCTCTGGAAGCTGGTGAAATCAACTTGGACTAGGTCATCGGCTAGAAAGATGCCAAATTCTAGGAGGACGGAGTCGCTTCAAAATGGAACATATTTGTTGAATAAATCTATTTACAAATTTTTATTGTCTTTGAAATTCCCATAAAAATGCCATGAAATTGTGTAACAACCTCTTAACAGCTTTTACGAGCTTTTTTCTCTGGTGCTCCGGCTATTTGAATTTAAGCGTGCTACTAGAGTGGCACCCAGGTCCCACATTTTAGTGTTGAAATAGTTAAATGTAACCGCCACTTCTACTCCAACAATTTATTTTCTCGAACTTCCAGTCTGTGTAACTGACTTCCGTTGACTTGCTTCTCTGATAACTACAATCTTCAAAAATTTAGATGCAACGTCAATCGCTATCTTCTATTTTCTTGAATGTCGTTCATCTTTTATCCTTTCCTCATCCCCCCATACCCATTTCCTTCTTTCAGTTTCACTCTCTGTAACTCCGTCGAACTAGTGGCATTCCTGCCTTGCTTTGGGGTGAAATATATATATATATATATATATATATATATATATATATATATATATATATATATATATATATGAGGATAAGTAAAAAATTATCCACACTATCGCCATGACATATCTTTAGGTTTGTCACACTGCATCATGTGTGCTTATAATTGGTGCTATTGTGGTCACGGATTCGAAGTTTGACGCTTGATCGTAACGGTTTTCTTGCTGCTGTTACAGTGTAAACATAGCTGCTCCGCTAGCAGTGTGTACCAAGGAGGAGCAAAGAGCTGTGACGCGAATCTGATGAGAGCATGCTACCATTCGCCATTACCATCTCTCAATCTTCTCGTCAGTGGTGGAGGTTGACTGGCATCCTGCTTCTTCTTCGTGCGTCACATTTGCCCGGTCACTTTTAAAGATTTCGATCCACTCATACACACTTCTACGCTGTAGTGCACTGTCGCCATATTGCATTAAAAGTTTCCGAGGAAGAATTTCGCCCAGACACACCCTCCGACTAGAGAAATAGGTGAAATTGCGCAAAACTTTGGGTAGCATTGTGCGGTAAGGAGCAACAATACAATTTTTAAATAAATAAATATGTCCATATGTGCGCGTAAGGTTTATATATATATATATATATATATATATATATATATATATATATATGTGTGTGTGTGTGTGTGTGTGTGTGTGTGTGTGTGTGTAGTGTAGAATCCATTAAACAATTTTTGTTAAATTACACAAACTATTTTTCAAGTTTTCAAATATGTACATCAGAATAAAAATTTGTGGCTAAACACCCAGGCAGATTTATAAGTATATATATATATATATATATATATGTATGTATAAATTTGAAAACTGCACCTTCCATTGTGCTTACACGGCTTTGAAAACGATCCACTAAACATTATTAATGATATCGCTTCTTAAAAACTGGAAACATTTTCAGAGGCATTTAGATTCTACTGTTAAAAATATTCATGGCTCTAACAAAATCTTTGTTAAACCTGACAAAACTGTTAATTTTTATGAATTCAATCCTAAAGATTATAATGCATTAATTAAAAAAAATTAACCA